TCCAGAGCTGTGGGGGAGAGAAAATGGGGAAACAGAAGGAATCAAAGCGTTTGGAGGATTGCAGCAGGCTCTGTAAATAAGAAGTGAGTGAATCCATTGTCCCTGGGGTCTTGGGAGTTGAAAGGCCAAGTGTTTGAAAGCTGGAATGCAACAGTTGGTGGCAGCTTGGTCTGTGGTTCCTGTGCTGCACAGGACAGGGAGGGCTTGAGTTGTCCAGTTCTCAGCCAAGGAAGTCCAGGAGGAGCTGAGCACAAAGTGGGGGGAAGGAAGCAGATAAATCTGTGGACAGATCCATGGAGAAAGGACCTGTGGCCTCTTAGGAGTTGAGTTGTCCAGTTCTCAGCCAAGGAGGTCCAGGAGGAGCTGAGCACATAGTGGGGGGAAGGAAGCAGACAAATCTGTGGACAGATCCATGAGAAAGGACCTGTGGCCTCTTAGGGGGAAGTTCAGTGAGATGTGAATCCAGAGCTGTGGCAGTCACTGCTCTGCTGGAGTTTGAGGGCAGGGACACATCAGCTCTGGGTTCCTACCTCAGGTGGTGCTTGCACTGAAGTTCAGTCAGTTTCCAGGTTCTCCTGCAGACATCCTGAGGGACACAAGCTGCTGCAAAGTGAAGACCAGTTGCAGCTCTCCACACGGGGTGGGTGCAGGGAACTGTGCTCCTTTATGCTGTTCCTTGCTGTCCTCAGAGGAGCCAGAACTAAGGAGAGATTCCTGTTCTCACTGCTGGAGGTTCCTGTCTCAGTCCCAGCTTTATCTTGTAGGCTGGTCCTGCTCTGGGTGGAAATTCTGGTGCAGAACAAGCATGAGGTACAGCCAGAGAGGGAGAGAGACTTGGACAGTGTTCGGTGACCCCAGTGCTTCCTGAGTGGGGATTAGTCACCTAAGGGTCTTCTCCAAGGACTGTCTCATACAGGCAATGGTTGTGAGGCTCAGATGGTTCTTGAACAAAACCCACAAGTCAGAATTAGGCCTTGTGAGAGCTCAGCTTGGGCACTGCCAGCTCCAGGGTGGCCTGTGGGAGTCCTGTGACCCAACAATTCCAGCCCACGGTGGCTCCTCCAGCCTTGGATCCTTCTGGGACAGACACTGAGTGACACAAGCACACACACACACCTGCAGAGATACCTGAAGCAGTCACCTCCCTGTATCGATCACAGTGGCCCTCGAGCTCCACCTTGACCAGGACGTGGCAGCTCTGAGCTCCTGCGAGGGTGAGGAGGAGGGTGAGGAGCCACCAGCACTGCCCTGCAGCTGGGGCTGGGCTCAGCTCGGCAGAGGGAACAGCCCATTCCCAGTCTCTCGGTGGCTTTGGGGTGACCTCTGCTGACGATCAGGAAAACGGCTGCGCCTGGAGCAGGAAGAGGGAGAGGTCTGGAGCTTTGCTCCTGGTGTTAAAGCTCAGTATGTATCTGCCTCATCTATCCTTCACTCATGTCCTGCAGATTCCCTCCCTAACTCCTGCCTTTCTCCACCTTTCTGAATGCTCTGCTCAATGCGTTTGGGTTTTCATCCCACTTTTCCCTCAAAGGCAGTATCAGAAATAGGTGGAATTATCTCAGCAGGGAACATTTCTCTGTGTAACAGGCCTGATCCCACCTCCAACCTTTTACAAGATGAGGATGAAAGAATGGACACTCAGCTTCTGCCTCCTCTCAATCCACCTTCACTGAGTGTTTCCCAGCTTTGCTGCAAAGATTCTCATTCAGCCTTGTACCTGCTGTGTAATCTCAGCTCTTTCACAGAGTTTTCTTAAACACAAAAAATACCTGGAGAGAGGGAATGCTCTCCAACCCCATCACAGGCTGCTGGAAGAACATGAGGGACCTCATGCCTTGGCAGGGCCACAGTGACTCCCCAAAGCATCCCCTGAAGATGTTCCCTCAGCCTAGTGAGTGTCATCTCCAATCCCACTCCATCCCCACAGGAACAGACATGCAAAACAGTTTTCCAGATATCCCTGGACTGCTCCTTCCCTAATTCCACAGGAAAGAACCAAAAAACCACAAATAAATTAATAAAAAATTTATTTAGAAAATCTTCAAGTAGCCCCAGAAAATCACAAAAAATAGTTTTCTCAGTGACTTTTGAAAATAAACACAAGGAAAATAGGCTCAGGAGATCACAACCTCTTTTGTCCAAGGAAGAATGAGGAGTTTTCTCCTGACCTTCAGGAAAGTGGCACCCTTGACCCTCAGAGAAGGAAGAACAGTCCCAGTCCCAGCAGAGTCATTGTACTCGCCCTGCTTGAGTAGGGAGGTGGGACCAGATGATCCACTGTGGTCCCTTCCAACCTAACTGATTCTGTGATTCTGTAATCTAGGATTTGAAGTTAATTGTGTCTCTGCCCTTGGCTGACCTGCTGCATCTCTGACCAAACCCTCTACCTGACTTCTTCCTCGCTGTCCCGAGGACCAGGTGTGACAGTCTCTACCTGCATCACATTGTGGTTCCCGATCTGAACCATCCGAGCGTGTTGGATGATGATCCCTCCTGGGCCTGGCATGATGTTATTGTGAGCTGATGGGAATGGTGGTTGGGAGGGGAGAGGACCCATCTGGCCAGGAGGAGGTGGATGCTGTGATGGCCACGACTGTGTCGCTGCTGGAGGTACCTGTGGAGAGGAGCCAAGGCTTAGGCCAGCCAAGTTCTGCTGTGCTTGATGCTGTTCCCAGTACAGCTGGTGTTTCCTCCTCTGCACCTCATCCCACATGGCTTTCTTCTTCCTGATGTTCTTGGAGTTAAAGGTGTTGTGCACAGTCCTGTGGAAGAGAGGAGAGCTCTCGTGCAGGGTCACGAGCACACGGAGCACCAAGGGAATCTGACTCTGCTCCAGGGCGTTCTCCTTGGGGAGGAATGGGATGACTGAGTAGCGCTTGGCTGGGTCCTGGAGGGACTGCATCAGAGCAGTGTCTGTCTGGAACAGGCACAGGTTGCCCGTGAAGTTGTTGGTCAGCAGAAGGATGACAAAGGCAGAGTTTTCCATAGCATCTTGGAAGCAAGTCATGTGGCTGCGTCCGGCGATGGAGAAGTCCTCACAGAGGGTGGCACCGTTGGCCACCCCCATGTTCTCCAGCAGGTTCTTGACTCGTTTGGCAACAGTCACATCTTCACTGGCATGCAGGACAACAAAGGTGAAGAACTTGGCACCATCTGGCTCTGATGTGGGTGCTGGATCCACAGCTGGGAGAGGAGGAGGCCAGCATGGAGAGGGGGATGAGTGGAGGGGAGGGGGATGTATGTTAGAAGGAGGTTCCTGACGAGGAGGAGGAAGGGGATGGGTTGGAATGGAAGGTGATGTAGAGTTAGAAGGAATATCTGCTGGAATGTAGGAGTCCTCTCTGGACATGTGGGCAGGACCAGTATCCACTGTAGCTCTTGGGTCAGGCAGACCAGTAGAAAAGTGCTTTTCCTGCTGCTCTTTGTCTGTGTGTTCTCTTGGTGCACGAGGCTCTGCTGGCACTGTGGTGGGAGCATCCCTGCGTGGGGCAGGCTGGCTCACTGCCCCCTCTGAGGGCAGAGACACCTCAGGATCAGGGAGTGCTGGGTGACAGGAGCTGATCTGCACAGCCTTCTCTGCCTGGGGGACTTGGGCACCTGTGTCCTGCCCAGGGTGAGAGCTGGGGCTGCTGGCCCAGCTCATTTCCTGGGGGCTCTGTCTGTCTCTGTCAGGCTGTCCAGCACTGCTGGGCTGGGTGTGAAAATCAGCTGTTGGTGATGCACTGATCTCCAGACGGCTGGTGAGAGAGGAACTCTCCTCAGAGAAAAAGGTGTGTGAGCCTGAAAGGCATGAGTTGCCTCTAATCTGCTCTGGAGAACTCACCACATGGTTTGGGCTGTTTGTATGGAAAGATCCTGTGTCCACATCGGATTTCAGCGTATGGAATCTGTCCTCTGTGCCCACGCTGGTGGCAGAGCTGTGTTTGTCCTGCTCCTCAGGTAGGATGTTGTTGAGTGTCCCCCACGGGGTGTCCTTGCTGGCGTGGCAGGCTTTGCTGGCAGCCTGGCAGGCTTTGTCCCTGGCCTCAGCACTGCACAGTTTTTCCTGTGCCAACACTTCGTACACCTGTGCCAGAAGCTCCACAGTACCTGCATCCAGCTGAGGAGGCTGCAAATCCTCCCTGCCTTCCCACACTGCTGCAGCACCCAGTTTGGTCTGGAGCACATAGTGGGCTGCCTGGGTATCCCTCAAGGCATCCAAACAAATCCTTGCCTGTGTTTCTTGCCCCAGGGTGAGCATGACCATGGCTTGCAGTAACTTGGTGCTGGGCCCACGGACAGAGTGCTTCAGTTTAAGTTTGAGGCTCAGGAGTTTATCTTGTGAGACCTGGGACAGAATTTTAAACACATCCTCAAAGCTTGGCTGGAGCTCAGTGCTCTGTGCCATCTCACCAGCTGCTGGCACAGACCATGGACTGAGGCAGCAGGGATGGAAAAAGCATCTTATGGTAAAAGTTGATTTCCTCGTGGGGCTTTGGGATGCCCTGGTTGCACTTCTTGTACCACAGAAGCTCTTTGCTGCTCAGGGATTCATCTTGGCACTGGGATTTCTCTGTCTTGAGGAACCTGTGAGGACAACAGAGGACAACATTCAGGGATGGTGATGTGGGGAGTTGGGGAGATGCTCACAGAGGTCCCAGGCTCTGCCCTCACAGCCCTCAAGTATTTTTGCATCTGCAGCTCTGCCAGTGCTTCACACATTATGCCAACTCTGATTAGGCAAAGGGCATGTTCATTACATTCATTTCACATGAAGTACAACTGGTTTTAAATAATTCCTGAACTAATGGTGTATTTGGGTAAATCCAAGTGTCTGTCTCTACCAGGCAGGTGGTTCCAGGGGCCTTGCAGGCTCCTTGTGATGGCAGACAAGGAATAAAGCAGGTTTAGAGGAAACCCTTTCCAATAGATAACCCATGTGCATTCCCTGCCAGGCTGCTGGTCACAGAGTCACAGGATGGGTTGGATAGTGTCTCACTCCAGCACTGTAGTCCTCCTGCAAAGAAGGTTAGGCAGAAGACAACACCATGAGCAGGCTACGCTGCTCAGACCACAGTATCCTGACCTTTCCAACTGCAGGTGTTTCTCAAAAGAAGGCACAAGAGGACAGGGACAAAATGATCTCCCCAGGTACCTACCAAATGTAACCCATTGCACCAAAACCATGTTTAAGCTATCAGTGGACTTTTGGATCACTGGAACCCTTGTCCCAAGTCCCTCTGCAGCTCTCTTGGAGCCCCTTGAGGCCCTGGAAAGGGCTGTAAGGTCCCACTGGAGCTTCTCTTCTCCAGGTGAACACCCCAAGCTCTCCCAGCCTGGCTCCAGGGCAGAGAGGCTCCAGCCCTCCATGTCCTCCTCTGGACTCACTCCAGCAGCTCCACATCCTTGTGTTGTTGGGGTCCCAGAGCTGTAACCGTGGACATTATATCCCCACCCACAGCTCAGCCCTGCTAAGCCCCTGCACTCACCCAAGGCCTGTGACTGGGGTTAAATTAACGAGCAGAAGAAGAGCAGAGGATCGGGTTCCTGGTGGGACACAGCTCCAGACGCTGCCTGAGCCTGGTGGAGAAACATTCCTTATTTAAAGGCAACCTCAGCTAACGCCCCCAAACAACTCCCAATTGGGGAAAGTTTCTAATTTCAGTTTCTTCCTTTTCTCTTTTATAAAAATGCTCCGATTGCCCAACCCATGCACTGGGGCCGAGCCCGAGGGAGCCGAAGCCGGGACGGGTGCGGGGGCACCGACCGCGGCTCCGGGATCTGCTCCGCCGGGAGGGGACGGGATCGACCGGGGACAAAGGACGGGAGAGGGGAAGGGATCAGCCGGGGAGGAGGGGAGGGAACGGCCGGGGAGGGATC